GATTTTTGTTGCTAAATTCATTGTGTTTTGTTCGTCGATTCTTATATAAAAAGTAACTGCATCATCGTCGAAAAAGTTAGGTCTAATTGTTCGTTCTGTAAAAGGTAAAGATCTTCAATTTGTTTACCTTTTTTGATTATTGAACACTTGCATTTGTATTTATTTCATTTATTCTAGTAATCAAATAAGTTATTTAACCTTTTGAGTTCGAAAGGAGTTAGGTTTAACATATTGTTCATCAAAAAAGTAAAAATCATCACTTTGCAGAACTTATTTTGATCTATTCTAGTAATTGAAACATTTATTTAATGTTTTGAGTTTGAAAAGAGTTATATTTAACATATTGTTCATCAAAAAAGTAAAAGTTGTCGCTTTACACAACTTATTTTGATTATTAAACGTCGATTCTTGCATTGCAAGTTTGAAAGGATTTAGGCTTAATATACTGTTCATCAAAAAAGTAAAAATCGTCACTTTGCAGAACTTACTTTGATCTATTCTAGTAATCGAAACATTTATTTAATGTTTTGGGTTTGAAAGGATTTAGGCTTAACATGTTGTTTATTGCAAAAGTAAAAATCATCACTTTCTAGAACTTATTTTGATCATTAAACGTCGATTCTTTTTTTTTTTTGAACAACAGCAAAACTTCATTAAGAAACAAGCTAGCTAGGAGCTAGCAACAAACATACAAAAACAAATTAAGGCATTAGCGGATTGCGCATCCAATCAATCCAACTAACACAAGCCTTAGAGTTCCGAAAAGAAAACCAACGAAAAGACAAATCAACAATAATATCATACAGAAGATGCTTTTTAAACTTATTAGGACTAAAAATGACACCATTATTATAGGGCCAAATATCCCATAAATTCACCATGCAAACCGACTCCAAGATAGGTTGATTCCTACGAATAATCACCGATGAATCAATCCAATCAAGCATCTCTGCAACACCAGGGTCAATAGGAAATGAAATATCAAGCCATAGCCCAAGTCTCCTCCAAATATGACAAGTCACCTCACACAGAAAAAAAAGATGTTAAACACTTTCTTCAACAGTCTGAAAAACTGGGCATATAATAGATTCCAACTCTACGCCTCTATCCACTAAAACCGAACGAACATGGATTCTATTTAACCTCAATCTCCACAAAAAAAATATTAAGTTTAATTGGAACACTCATAGTCCATCTAGTCCCCATTCCACTAACCAGCAGTGAAAGAGAATCAATATGTCTTCTCATGGACTTAACAGAAAACACCCCACTTGGATCAAGACTCCAGGGCCACCTATTGGGAGTGGAAGACAACTGAATAGGAGTCAAAATCTGCATGAAACTCTGTAATTGCTCAGCTTCAATTCCACCTCTAATGCCATGCCTCCAAGAGAAGTTCCACCCACTAGAAGTCTAGAAATTCAAGACCAACCCATCTTTCATCAAATATACCGAATACAACCTAGGGAAATGTGTTTTAAACAACATGCCTCCACACCAAACATCTTCCTAAAATCGAGCCACAGACCCATCACCTACAATAATCGAAATTGAGTATGAATTTAAGACATGTTGACTTTCCATCTTGTTGATACAATCCATAATTCTCTTCTAAACTCCCATACCTCCTGACGAACGTGCATTATGAGCCAATGCCCCAGACTCACCATGTAAACCTTTAATAAGCCTCACCCATAAGGACGAGTGCTCATGAAGGAACCGCCACTTCTATTTAAAAAGGAGATACCAGTTAAACGCATCCAAACTACCAACCTGTAAACCAGCATTATCCCTAGAATTAAGGATAATATCCCATTTGACCCAATGAATACGTCTTTGAACTTCCTCCATACCCTAAAAAAATGAGCCCTAAGGAACCCCAACAAATGTCAGACTGTAACCGACATACAAAACAATGAAAGTAATAGATCCCAAGACTACCCAAAACAAACTTAATCAGAGTTAACCGGCCACCTATGGAAAGCATTTTCACTTTCACTACTAGAAAAACAGCCTTTTACGACGCTCATTGCACGTCGTAAAACGCTTAGACGATGCGCAAATGCGCGTCAAGGAAGGCCATGTCATAACGATCGACGACGCGCTTTTGCGCGTCATCTAGAGACGTCGCGCATTTACGATGTGCATTTATGACACGTAATGCGTATCATTAAAGCCGCTGTCAAGAAAGGCCATGTCATAAATGAACATGACACACATTTTTGCGTATCGTAATTTTTATTTTTAAAAAAAAAAATTATTTTGTAGATTTACTAATTTTCAAATTAATTTTGCATTTCATGTCTCATAATAGAAAATAAAATACGATACACAAAAAATGCAACCCATTGCACAAAAGTTAATGTCATACAAAATACAAAATATAATACAATAAATAAGAAAGATAATTCATTGCACTAACATGTCAAATACAAATAATCATCCCTAACTATATAACCTAATACTACATTGCTATTAAGAGGCATCATCATAACTCACTAAAGGTCTTGGAACAATGTTCTCGTCATCAACTCTTACACCAACCTTGCTTTAGTAGATGGTCTTGTAGCTACTATCTTTTTCAGCATTAAATCCCCACATATAGCATACCTGCAAATTGCAAATTGCTCTTAAATCTCAATACAAAGTATATATACATATGTCCAAGATGAAGTTTATTCAAATAGGTGTTCTAAAATTCTTGCTACTTTTTATTCATGTCTTATATAATAATTCTATTTATTCACTATTTATTCAGGGTATAAGGTTGTGGGAATGATATACTTATGTCCGATACTTTGAATCAAAACCATAAAATAATTACAAAAATACCCCTCCCAGTTACATTGAAAACTGAACAAACATGTAACAGAAAAACCTGAGAAAAAGTCAAGTAATCAAGTCATAAGAGTGTGCATGTAACAAATCTGACAAATGCAACCTATATGTCATGTGATAGATAAAAATTATGTCACATTTCCAAATCACACAATTAATTACAATATACAAGCACAAGCATACCCTTTTGAGATTGAGGGGGTGTTAGAAAAGAGAGAAACCTATAGGTCGTGTGATAGATAAATATTCTGAATTTTACTTCTTCCACTGCAGCTAACAGCCTGGCGTTCACCTTTTCCATCTCATCCAGCTTTTTCATCAGAATCTAAATCCGTTTTCGTAATATCAAGTTTGAACAATTAGACACTATGATTAGTAACAAATATTTATTATAAAAATAATAATAATAATAAGAAGCTTTGATAAATGAATTGCATACCCGTGGTGTCAAAATTGGTTGGTCAGTGGTGGAGGATGCCAATAGTAACTGTTGCAAACTTTGGATAAGAGTGCACCTGTAATGATAAATATAATAAAGACAAACAAAAACATGAATCAGAATCACATTGACAAAAACAAATGTGTATTATTGAATATGAATATGTGCATCTGCTTCTATCTTCAGGAAAGGCATTGTCTAAGTTCGATTGCAGGGCCATGAGATCAGATTGGAGGCTGGAGATCTGTTGCACTAGTCCTGGTGCTGATACATATGTTGACAAACCACCTTGAACATCTAATAAATAAATAAAAAGGTAATCAAGTTTAGAATTTCTTTATTTGACAATTTTATTTATAAACAAAAAAGGAGTGTAATTTACTTGAATGGATGCTGAGAAGGTCTCTGACACCATGTAAAAATGTATCTTTGATCATATGTAGTTGAACCAACCAACTCAAGGCTCTATGCCATGAAATTAACAACATGGAAATCTCTAATATACATGAAAACAAAGGTGAAGCCATGGGAAATGATGTCTTGGCGGTGCTGTAGAAATAACATCCATTCCCGTAATAAGCTAGTATTGCCTTCTAGTTTACCGTTTCTTGTCGAAACAATAGATAAAAGGGAAAACCATAGTAAAACCCTATGTATTTTACCCCAATGCCTAAATAAACCCTTATATTTATTTTATGTACAATTTAACCATTACTAATATTTAAATCGTCTACATCAAAATAACTTTTTTTTGCAGCAAGGGTAAATTCATCAACATCAAAATAATTTTTTTTTTGCAGCAGCCCTGTAATGGTAGCTGCGTTTTTTACTGATTTCAGTACACAATCTCAATTCAAGAATGAAAAAAAACCCTTAAATTTTTGTCATGGGACAAAAATTCAACCTGTAATGTCTTTGATTCGATTATGTTTCTTTTATTTGGTTCAATTTATGTTTTATTCTGTTTATATGTGTTTGTTTTGGACAAATACATATAATTATTCAATTTATGGTTGTTGTTTGATGTGCTAAAAACCCAAATCAGCAGCAAGGGTAAAATCATCTAACATCATTTTTTTGTTGCATTGGGGTATGTTACTGGTTGCCAAAGTGCAACCGGTTATAAAGCATTAAATGGGGTAAAATACATAGGGTTTTTTCTATGATTTCCCCTAGATCAAAACTGCACAATGAAAGAAATGCACACACACACACACAAAGGACCCCTACTCACCTGTAGCTTGCTAGGTTGGTCAATCTCACGGTAAACAAAGGAGACTCGTACATTAGATACTTGCAACAATTTCAATTCATCTTCGCTGCTTACCTTCAAATATATATCTTGACCAAGTCTATTGGTGAATGTCATAAAAGGACGCACGCTGATTACCTAAAGTTGACAATAAAAAAGTTTAAGTTCTGGACAAAAACACAAACACATAGGAGAAAAATGAAGATCATAAGCAGTTATTGTCAGCATCATAAGCAACCTTTGTTGGAACAGATTGAAGATCATAAGAAGTTCTATTAGACTTTATCAAGGTTCCAAAAGCTACAAGAATCATGATTCGTAAGCATTGTGAGCTTGGATGGATGTATCAAAAGGTAATCAGATATATTTGTGAGAATATAGATGGTTTTCTTAGTGTGAAAAGGCCACGGAAGCTTTTTGCTATGCATTACAAGATGAGCTTTTAGGGTATGATATGCTGCTGACAACACTTCAATCACATGATCTTTCTCTGAGGAGACTCAGTCTGGTTAGTTGAGCCAATGGTAATGATGAGGTGAATGGTTGTTCTTGTGGACAGTTGTAGGTCTCTAAAGGGTGGGGTAATGGCGGGAGCAATTCACTTACACACACAGCATGGTGACCCTATTCTTCATGATTTCATGAAACAATTACTTCAAAAACTCTCTTATCCTCTTTTCAAAATGGTAAGGAGTTGGGTCTTGGAAGGCAATCTTATCTGGTATATGCATATTGTGTCAAAAGACTCATATACGCCTGCATTATGAAAACAATATTGTTGATATCCATATTAACCCAAAAGTTCTTATCTGGGAAGGTGTAATCCTCTTCACCTTCAAATCTTTGCTAGCGTTTCCAGCTAACTCAAGCACCTCAGCAGTTAAGTACTCAAGAATGGCAGTAGAGTAAATAGCAGCAGTGGCTCCAACACGTCCATTTGCAGAAGTTCTAGTTTTCAAATGGCGATTAATCCTCCCTACTGGAAACTGAATTCATCCTCACATTAATATTACAACACCAAAAGATACAAAAATAATTCAGGAAAATAGTTAGGGTTTATATCGAACCTCCAGGACAGTTCTAACAGATCGGGAAATCGACATCTTCTTATCTTTGTCCTTGTTCGCTGCTTCTGCCGCCAGTGTTTTTCCGGCCAATAAGCCCTTCCCACCCTTTCCGGCCATCTTTCCCACTTACACGAACACTTTAGAGAAAAATAAAAAAAAGATGATGTTTACAAAACTTGACGGAAATCAAATTCAGGAATCAAGAACTTGGATTCCATAAATATGAAATCTCAATTGGAGATCAGGCATTCGAGTTTCAATGAGTTTTAGACTTTCAGTCAATTACACATTTGATTAATCGATTTTTAGCAAATTCCAGGCTTTCATCGGTTGAGCCAGTTTGGTTTCCGTGATGGGCTGATGGCGAATGGAATTAAGAATCTCAACCTAAAATCAAAATCAGATGGAAGAAATCAGAAATTATAACATCAAATGGGAAGAAATCTATGAAACAAGTTAAATTCGTTTGAGATACCGATGTTAATCATTAGAAATATCAATCGAGAATAGAACAGAGAGTCGCTTCCTTTTTTGGCGTTGAATTTTTTGTTGGGCAATCTGATGAGAAGCGATTGTTTGAGACATCGATGTTAACCTTCGCTTCGTTTTTCCATCCTTCTACAAATTATGCAGGGCAATATGTCTCGCCCTATAAGCACAAAACCATTTGATTATGAAGAGAAGCGAAGAAATGGTGAGGGAGCAAGGTCTAAATCATTTCACCACCAGTTGATCACCACCAAAAACCCTCACACATACTGGGTTGAGAGAAAACGAGAGAAGAGGAAGCTTAGAATAAAATAAAACCCTAGCACGTCCTAAAGAGAAGGGAGGTGGCGATGGCTTAGGGTTTGTAGAGAGAAGGGAGATCCAGAGGAAAAAGTGAAGAAGCGGGCACTTCAAAATTTTAGAATTTCAGAGGATTTTATTTTCCGCCTTAAAAAACGCGCATTGATAAAAAAAATATAAAGCGACATTTTTAGAAGACACACATTTAAAACAAGCGCCCTCCGTGTTTGTAATTTTTTTTTGACATTAATCTTAAGGCACGCAAAAATTTGTATCCTCTATCCTTCATATTTTGGAAGGCTAACATTATTTTTAAGGTCACACAAAAATGCGTATCGTGGATCAGCGAGTGTCATTGTTTGGGCGTCATTAAAGGGTATTTTTCTTGTAGTGTTTCCAATTAGATAGTCTCTTAGGAAACCTATCCACAATCTCATCCTAGCTATTGACACGGCTCCTAGATCCACCGACCAGAATTCCAAGGTAAGAAAAAGGAAACTTAGCTGCAGCACATCCCGTAATAGAAGCAAGAGAAGTAACTTCAGACTGATTAACACCAACACCTAACAAACTAGATTTAAAGAGATTAATCTTTAAACCTGAAACCATATAAAAACGATGAAGAATGGTGATAAGATTTCGAATATTGCCCACCCCCCATTTACCCAAAAACAAAGCATCATCAACATAAAAAAAGATGAGAAATCTCTAAATTAGCCTCTTCAGTCTTAACCTCACGAAAATTTCCAAAATCAACCGCGTCCTCCATAGATATATGTAGGCCCTTCATAGAAATAAGAAACAAAAAAGATGAAATTGGATCACCTTGTCGTAAACCTCTAAAAAGTTAGAACTCTTCAGTTGGGCTACCATTAACAAGGATAAAAGATCTAGCATTTTTTAGTAATCCATGAATCCAAGACCGCCACCAATCACCAAAGCCCATAAACCCCATAACTTGATCCAAATAATCCCATATACAAAATCATACGCTTTCTTAAAATCAAAATTAAAAATAAAGAATTTCTTATTTTTCTTTTTTCCCCAAGAAATCATCTCACTAACCATAAGGGGCCCGTCTAAAATTTTTCGACCTGCAAGGAAAGACGACTGCTCCACACTAATAACATCAGGAAGCACCACCGGCAAACGTTTTGCTAAAATTTTAGCAATAATTTTGAATTGCATCCCAATAAGGCTAATAGGTCGAAAGTCTTTCACAAGTAACAGATTCTCAACCTTGGGGATAAGAGTAATGAACGAGGAATTACAGCCAACAGGAATAATAGGTTTATAAAAAGAATTCCTGCACAAACTCAATCACATCATCCCCCAAGATATCCTAATAATGTTTAAGAAATTGAAAAGAGAAGCCATGCGGACCTGGGGCTCTATCCCCACCACAATCCCAAACCGCCTCCTTAATCTCTTCTATAGTAAAAAGTCTCTCTAATCCCAAAGCATTCTCCAACGTAAACAACAAATTCTACATCAAATTTTCCCCTCTTCACCCCAATGACAATTCGGAGATGATCATCCGGACATAGCATGAAAGATTAAAAACATTCTACTCCAAGAATGCACTGCCTCAAAAGGAAGTGTGGACGAGGAAGAGGATAACAAAGATCTTAGGGTTTGGAAGGAAGATTCTGACAAAATTTAAACTCAACTGTGTACTATTCCAGTACCACGTCTTCCGAAATAAGCCAACCCTTCACACCATCACTGATGCCGATTTCCCTACAATCAATCCGAACGATATTTTGACAATTGTTGTGCACTTTGGGAGTCTTCAAAATGATGACATCAGTATGGGTGCTTATCATGCTACCTTAAGATTTCTTAAGGACTATGTCACAGAATTTTGTCGATGTGATTATGAGCTAGCACACTTGTTGAGAACCGAAGACTTTCTTGCCAAGATCGAATATGTGCTACCAGAAGCTGAACTGCTAGCTGAAGGACCTATTGATGAACCGATTCTAGGTTTTGTTTACAAAACAAAAAAGACAAACAACGACTTCTTCTGAGTCCTTGACAAACACCTAGTTCCTACAAAAGCCCTCAAGAAGTTTATCAGTCTAGCATCCATGTCCGAAGCTCCTGAACATGTCAAGCCAAACTTTGTGAGTTAGTTGTAGTGGTATATCGAAGTCAGGGGTTGGTTGTTTAGAGCTTACACGTTCATCTAGAAAGAAGCAAATTGAGCTGACTGATTGCTAAGTTCATTTAGGGGGAGATTTTTGGAACCTGAAAGTAAACCTCTAGTAATCTCTAGCCTTTTTGGAGTTCCGAAGTCAGTCAATGTTCCGAAATGGAAGATGTTACGAGATTAGTTTTGTGTCCGGACCTGAAGGCTTGCTCCGGATGTGAAGATCAGTTGAAGGCATTCTGGAATGAATGTTATGACCGAAATGTTATCTTGTCTGAATTAGTACTTTATCCAATTGTATTAATTGTTTTTGTCACTTATCATGATTTAACTTGTCATAGGACTTAGTCTCTTTTGTTAAACACGAATAATCAAAGAGTTAGAAGTAACTCTATTACCCAGTCCTATGTATGTAATCGGTTAATACGATGTATCATGTACTCCTATTTATAGGAGCTTTCAATGTTAAATCCTGTGACAAATTATTCAAACTAAATAGTATCACTTCAGTTGTATTCATCTTTTATTCTCTTCAAATCATCTTCAAAAACATTCTCTTTTTGTTCTTCATTTATTATCTTTACTTTGATTATATTTCGAACTCTTTATTTATGACTTGAGTACTTTGTTGAATACATTAACTCAGACTTGACTGGAAAATTTATTAGCAAGCAGACATTGATCTTAAGCATTAATTCAAGGTTTGAGTTTTCAAACCTTATCCAAGCGCATCAGATTGTTTGTTATCTCAGAGAACATCATCCGTACTATGGGAGGACGCTCTGATGGTCAAGTTAGTATGGTTTTCGTGAGAAGGAAATTTCTTAGAGTGAGATTCTGGAAGTTATTGTTAAGAAGGTGACCAATGGGTTTATATAGTTGGTGACAAAAATGTTTTACTCTCTCAAGGGACAAGGGTGTCAGCCCTGATTCAAGGTAGGGATGATCATTGGTGGGTATATCCTATGTTCTCTGCTCTAGAATGTGATTGGTTTATATGAGGTATTAGTGGTGCGTGCACTACTAAGTTTGTCAGTTGACACTGTTCTACCGCTAAGGTTTTTCAAGTCGGATTCCAGGACGAGAGATCGCCAGGAAGACTACTCTCACTGATGTAGTTTCCCAGCTGGTATGGGATCGCTCTCGTACAGTCTCCTATGCTGGCCTCAGGGCGTCTCTTTCTGGCATGGATCTATGGTCCACAATAAGTCTCCCTATTATTAGCTATCACATCATAGGCTCGCTTAGTAATGATGGGTGTACTAGTTTTTATAGTTTTCGCTCGACGGTTGAGTATCAGTCTGTTAGTTTCCTTGGATGTGATCACTATCTCCGGTTGACGTCAGTTACAGTTACCATTATTAGGGTTCTCCCGCCCATTTATCTAGATCTTATCTGTTTACTTGTCTTCTTCATAATTTTACTCTTTTCTGCCTTTCTCATCTCGTTTTGTTTATTTGTTGTATATTTTCTCCAACAGTTCTTTCAGTGAGTCTCCTACCAATATTTTGCATATTGTCTCTCAGTGGGAGGGTTTTTAGAGTCGTTATGGGCTTCAACTTGACGATGGGGTCCTAATTCCGATGGATGGTTCTGTTATCACTCGTCCTCCTCCTGGTAAGTTTGGAATCTATCTCAAACACTTTGATACAAGTTTTCAATCTTTTGGAACTGTTGGATCACCATAAGATCCATATCGACTAACTAGTACCAAATGGTGTGAACAAAATTAATTCCTTTGAAAATGTTGTGCCGATGTAATGGTATTGTGCCTGATATTTGGGTGTTTCACTACTTCATTCGTCTTCTGCTTTTTCTACTTGTGACAATTATACTTTTTGCGTGAGAAAGTATTGTCGTATTCTTGTGACCGATCAGAATGGTTCTCCTAAGAATTGGCATAACCACTGGATTTGGGTTGATGGGGAGAAGGTTGGTCGGATGTTTCTTCATGTTCCAATTTTCAATTCTTTGAGTAATATGTTGTGACATCTCCATTTTTACGGCCATAAAAGACCGGTTAGTTTATGCTTTGTTTTGAAAATTGGAGTAACCTTTTAAAGAAAAGTATTACAGAATTTGTTCCTAAAAGATAAATATGATAAAGATTAACAAAGCATTTCCGAAGAAATTTATTTCATTATATTAAAACATCGGGATGTCATGTTCGATACTG